TTTAGCCCCACAGTGGTCCAAAATTGCGAGTGTGAAAAGATGACGCACCACAGAATCCACTTACCCGAGCCTCAACCCGAAGACCTAAACCCTATAAATCCACCAGGACTTGCCGAAGGAAAGTAGAATGCTAGGAGCATGAACTTACTCCTCATGAGTCCTATCGGAGACACCGGTAGCCATGATGAGTTTCGCAAACAAGTTCTCTGCATCTTTGCAGACATGCCGGAAGCTGCAGAAGCAATGCTTACATTGCAAGCACAGAGCCTTCTCGGCATGATAAGAAGTGAAGCTTTCCATGCCCCACACACACACCGCAACTACCCTGCACTCATTGAGGCTGCTACGAGAAGGCGGCCCCTTATGTGAACGAGCTACAAAAGTACTCGACCCAGCTTCATCAGCTTGATCGGGCTGCAGCCGACCGAGACATCCTCTGGATTTTTAGCAGGTCTGCAATGGTATCAGACCGCGAAGAGAAGCAGAGCAATAAGAGGAAGCTGCAGTCCTCCTCGGCTGTCAGAATGGCGAAGAGAAGGAGAAGGAGCTCCTCCACCAGCCCTGCACCTCATGAATGTGAGAGGAAGGTGCAGTCCTCCTCGGCTGTCAGAATGGCGAAGAGAAGGAGAAGGAGCTCCTCCACCAGCCCTGCACCTCATGAACATGAGAGGGAGGTGCAGTCCTCCTCAGCTGTCAGAGTGGCGAAGAAACGGAGAAGGAGCTCCTCCACAAGCTCTGCACCTCATGAAAATGTGGGCCCAGATGAGGTGACCAGTGATCCAGAAGGTACTTCTGAGCCCGGCCATGCAGATCAGGCTTGCGAATCAACTTCTGAGCCCGAATCTGATGAGTTGGACCTGCAGTCCAGCGAGGACGGCAAGCCTTCGAAGCCCCAGAAGAGGAAGCACTACAAAACAAGGATTGCTACCAAGAGGCCCTCTGTACAACTGGCAGGCATCGTCCCTGCAGATGACTTGAAAGTTTGCCTGAAGAGTGCATATGCCTTTCTTCGTGCAGCTCATCTGGAGTGTGAGTTTCCCTGCTTAGCTTTGCCCAGGTTAGGGATACATGTCTTGATAGTCCGAGCCCTGAGCCCAGGTGGGTGCATCTCGGGTACACAGAGTTGCCAGGACTGCAACATGCAAGACGTTTGTTAGCTTCATTGACTCCTTTGTTGCTGGGCCACTTCACTGAGATCACAAGGTATTGCAAGGGCAGCCAGACAGGCGCCGTGAGGCAAACTCCATTCGGTCGAAGAACCCGGCCAGCTCTCCCATGCTGCGGGTTTGCAAGCTCTTTTTGTGGCATCGGTACCAGTTCGATGCTGAAGGCATGCCAGACAAATTCAGATTCGAGACAAGCTCTGTTGGCAGCCACAGGACTACAATAGTGCATTCGTCCCTCCTTCCAACAGCTTCAGTTTGTTGTTTTTGTAATGTGACATGCTTGTAATCAAGCTTGAGTGTGGCGATGTGCTGCAGTTCTGAAGGCAGCAGCAATCGGCAGCGAGAAGTGGGTCGTCCTCCTCTTCGGATGTGGATGCTGCTGAAGATGCTGAAGCTCGTGCAGTGGCATCGTGCTCGCTTCAGTGCTGCTGTTTACTGGAAGCGCCTGAAAAGGTGCTGACCGGTCCAGGTGTCGGTGCAGGTGCAAGACGGTACCTGGGTGTGGCGCGGCCATCGATGATGTTCCTCTGGCTGCAGCAGTGGGCAAGGGAAAACAGTCACCCTGTGCCATCGTTCACAACATTCTGCCGAGCAGTCCGAGAGTGCCGTGGGTGGTTGAAGTTCAGAAAGAATGCTGGTGAACATGCGGTCTGTGACACTTGCTGGCTGCCGGGCTGCACTGCTGGCTCGGTTCATGTCCTGCCTATTGCTGTGTCAGTTCATGTCCTGCCTATCGACCAGCGACCTCAGGAGCTTCAAGCAAAGGCTCCGGCAGCATCTCAGTCCGGCTGAGAGGCAACAGCGGCTGGGCAGCCCAAAACAGACATGAGAACCCAAGTCCCAAAATGTGACGAGTAACTTCGGTCCTGACCAAGGACCCTGGATGATTACATCAGGCACCTCATGCTACAATGGCAGGATCGGGAGGCTGATCTGCGATGGGCAGCTCTTAGTGTTCAGCTACGAACAAGTTTGAGTTCCTCGTCTTGCCATGCATGGGTTGCTGCTTTTTTGTGTACAACACTAAGCACACTTCGGTTTTCTTGCCCAGCTTTGCAAGAAAGGAATGGGGGTCCGACTCCGGGACATCCAGCGGTCCCTGAGTGTAGTCTTGATCAGGGCCGACGGCCTGGACCAGGCAAAGCACAAGTGCCCAAGGTCTATGACGAAGACTCATGGCTTTGAAGCCCTGCTGCGTCCAAGCTTGTCAGTGCTCATGCTTTGGGCCCAGGGCCATGCGCTGGCGTTTGAGATCAAGGATGCAGATGTCTACAAGAATACAAATTCCAATGTGGAGGGAATTTCTCGGCTTCTCGACAAAGTCTACAACAACTGCAATCAAGCACTTCCTGTCCACATCTGCATCGTACAGGACAACTGCAGTCGGGACTGCAAAAACGGTCTCCTCCTGTCCTGGTGTGTCAAGCTCCATTTGCTGCAGGTGTGTGAGAGGATAAGCCTGCAATATCCCAGCAAGGGGCACACTCACGGGCCACTTGATGGGCTCGGAGGGCAGGCTGTCACCAAATGCAGTGCCTGCGAGTTCTCCGATGCTGACAGTTTGGTGGGGATCTACGATGGGTTCCTGCAGCAGTCCACTGTGGATGGGGGAGCAAGCTTCAGAGGTGCCTGGAAGGGCAACTCGGCAGCTTAACTCAGAGGATTTTTGGATCTGTTTTGTGTCCTCAGTTGAAGTAGCAGCCATGAATGGTTTGATCGCAAGGCGATGAGCAAGCCAACTGGCAGAGCTGGTGGGAGGAGGTCGGTTTGGTCTTCTCCAACCTGACAGGCCCGAAGGCCCCCCATTCGCTACTCGAGCTGCATGGAACCTCTTTTCTGCTGGAACAATTTGTTGAACCGGAGCAGCAGACCCTAAACCCGAAAGTGTCGGAAGCAAGGTTCGAGATCACGACCTTGAAAGATCTCGGCTACCTGCAAGTGCCTGTGACAACATGGCCAGGTGCCCCACCGTCCCATCCTGATGATGTAGTTTGTGTGGTGCGCCAGCGAATGGCTTCACGGAGGCATTTTCAAGTCTGTCTTCTGGTACCTGGGACAGAGGTTCCGGCGCTGCGAGCCAGATTGTCAAGGCAGCCGTCAGGTGTTTACCCGCGAAAAGCTGTGAAGGACCGGGACAAAGTGGTTGCGAAAGCATTGCAGGCTCACCGAGAAGGGTGCATCAATGCCGCTGTGCTGTAAACTCTAAGTAATTGATTTTCTTTGCTTCTGGCACTGGTCTGCCAAGTTCTTCGGGAAGCCAAGGATGCTGCTCGTGATTTCTTGGTCGGCTGGGCCAAGGGCACTTTGAGACGACACCCGCGACCTGCCCAGTATGAGTTCTTGAACCACAACAGGCCATCTCAAGAAGGGATTTGAGTCATTCCTGTTCATTTTGTAAAGCAAGAGTTTGCTGCAGCATGCAGATGAGCTGTGAATTGAGTGTGGGTTTGCGGCTTAAACTGCCCTGACAAGGCATGCGTTTGATGCTCTTGCTCCTGCAGCTGCAAGGGCTCCACTGGCACCAGAAGAGTACCGGCCGATACATGTGCAGGCAGATGGAGGAGGCAACTTGCCCCCAGGGCCTGAGGACGATGAAGCAGACGAGCTGCCGGAGTAAAAGTGTCACAGCACAGGCCTACATAAAGGGTTGCATCACTATTAAACCGAAGGGCACTTGACTGCATGTTGTGACAGGCCTGATGTGATCCCTTAACCAGAACATGCCTTGGGATGGCATGCATGATGCGACCCCTAAACCAATAAAACATAACATGGTATGGGATGACATGTGTGATGCGACCCCTAAACCCCTAAACCACAACATGGCATGGCATGTTATGCATTATGTCACCCTAAGCCCCTAAAACAGAACATGACATGACATGCCTGATGTGACATGACTCACTAGCCCTAAACCATGTATGATGCAACCCCTAAACCAATAAAACATAACATGGTATGGGATGACATGTCTGATGCGACCCCTAAACCCCTAAACCACAACATGGCATGGCATGTTATGCATTATGTCACCCTAAGCCCCTAAAACAGAACATGACATGACATGCCTGATGTAACATGACTCACTAGCCCTAAACCATGTATGATGCAACCCCTAAACCCGTAAACCAGAACAGGACATGGCATGTCATGCATTATGTGCCACGGTTTAGGGTTTTGGGTTTAGGGTTCCAGAACATGACATGGCATGACATGACATGCCTGATGTCACATGATACACTAGCCCTAAACCCTTAACCATGACCTCTAAACCCGAGGACCTCAACGGCCCTAGATCTCTCAACTGTTACTACGACTAAGTGTTTTGGTACACAAACCTGTATTCAAGTCATCTGAATTGATGGTTTTGCCACAAATTACAGAACGCAACTGGTTGCAATCTGTTTTTTGTGGCAGAAACCTGCAACTAAGAATCATCTCAATTCATGGCTGTCTGAGAAAACTACAGAACCCAACCGGTTGCAATCTGAGTCTTGCTACATAGAACGGTATTAGCCTTTCAAATGTATGGATTTGGTATATAGGTGGCTATAGATGGCATTGGACCGGAGTCTAAGGATGTACTACTGTGCGACTGGGGAATTTGTCTAATGCAGCTGTGATGCAGGAAGCCTGGAGGGAAGCACTTGACTACTTCTTCGGCAGTGCTATGACATCCAAGAAATTCCAGGCCGGGCAGGGGTCGGTGCAGCTTGGTTGAGAGTTAAGATTTGTCATGATTCGGAGGATGCAAAAGAACCCACGAGCACCTGGCAGAGCAGGATTTAAGGATGTTTGATGGTGCCCCAGGCTTTTGATTGTCCTGCATCCGCTCGGTTCACTGCTCAAAGAAACCGCTTGCCTTAGACTCGTCCCTGTGCGACTTCTCTCTGCAGCCTTAGACTCGTGCCTTCACGACTTCTCTCTGCAATGACGGACCTCTCCTTACCGAAGAGAGCGAGATTCGTGGAGAGGATGAAGCAGAGACCGGAGTACAAAGTCATGAAAGCTGCAGAGGCCAAGATGTGCCCTACAAATGTGCGATGCCCAACTCCGGAAGCCATGGTATACACCCCGAAGAGACCTTGGGAGACCCAGGCATGCATTTGGCGCCGGCAGATCAGGCAGTACAGGCAGACGGACGATGAGACAAAGGGTCAGATGAAAAAGGCAACGGAGGAGCAAGTGCTCTGCTTTGTTTCCTGAGATCCTTCATGGCCGAAAATTAAGCATAAGATGGTGTGCGAGTGTACAGTGCCGTCTACGCACACAAGATGACCCGGGGCTGGTGGGTGCAAAAGCAATGCTTTCCGAGACTCCAGCAGCAGTAGTAGTAGTGGGTCCATGTCGCTGCGGCTTGTGTGCAGTGCACTGCTGTGAATGCAGGACATAACTGCTTGACTGTGACAGTTTGTTTTGTCTGGGCAGGTCCGACCAATCTGCTTGCGACAGCCGATGCCCGGAGTTGGAGCAGGCGGGCCTGTAGTGCTCTGCCCCTTTTTGCATCAGGACTTGTGCAATCGCCTGAACACTGACTTCCACATTGCTAGTGCTCTGCCCTACACACCCTAGCTCGTAAACCCCAACAGGAAATGATGTGTATGCCATGACATGGGCACTGAAGCCGAAACCGAACTGACTGGTCTGCATCTCTTATCCCTAACCCCCAATGCCAAGCCTGCAGCCGTACCCTCACAGTCGTTTTTTTCCATGCACACTGCAGAAGCAGAGGACGAACGGAGACAGGAAGCACACAATGATCTGAACAGTGGTTGAGTCAAGTAGAGAGAACATTCCGAACTCTAGTTGCTAATCATGGCGTGGCAATGCTTGCTCTGCACAACGCGCCGAACTTACCGGCGTGACAAGATGTGCAGCAGGTGCAGGCCAACAAAGCGAGGATGCAACAACAGGATGGTGCCGACGATTAGGTTACGGAGGAAGCTCAGTCTCGACGGAGTGACTCAGAAAAGACGGGCGGTGGACAACCATGTCGAGACTTACCAAGAGCACATAAACCATGTCGAGACTTACAAAGAGGCCCTCTTGAATCTCTTCAACGATCTGCGGGCTTTCCTGACAATGGCTGACTTGCATTCGATCATGTGCAATGCCCACAACATGCTCGATAACCTGAAGCCCAATCCTGGTGCTATACCTCCCTTCAGCAGAGAATCTGCTTTGGCTCTGGTTTTTGCTGGGATGGACTTGTCAGCCAGGGTTTCAAGTGACGACATGGACAAGTTAAAGAAAATCCTGCTGTGCAGCCTTAAGCAGAACAAGGCACGAGTGATTGCAGCGCACTGCCAGTGGATCAATGCCACGAACTTCATGAGGGGCTCACTTTTGGGGGATTGAAGATGCACAAACGATGTGTCTTTTGCTGGGGACCTGAGATGCTTCTGGGGTATTGATGAAGAAAAAAGTGAGTGCCAGGGCAGTGTTAAGCACCGAAAATCCGAAGAAACTCTTGCAATCAAATCGAAGCTGGGATGCTCCATAAACACCACAGTCACAGTCAATCCTCAGCTCAGCTCCGACTCCCCTAAACCCCCAACCCCAACCCTTTTTCACTACGAGGCTGATGGCAGTTCCCTTGCGGCCTCCCTGCCGCTCTTGCGCAGGCCGGGTTTAGACATGCATCAACCCTCACTTTACCTGTAGTGGCTGTGGTGCGAGACATTTATGCAGAGACCTGATCTAATTGATCTCCTGCTTTGACAGTTTCACCCTCGGACGCATACCAGCTTGCACCAGCCGGACTTCCTGCAGGCTGTAAGAAGAGCTGGAGCCTAACATCTGGCGGTGCGGTTCTTTGCAGCCAACATGTCCGCCCATGCTTGACATGTGACTTCCTGTGCATGCTGGCCACAAATCTGTACCAGGTGAGCCCCAATGCTTACGAGGCACACATGGGTGGCTAGATCATGATGTGTGTGGTCTTATTCTGGAAGCCGTCCTTTTTGGATGACGAGCAAAGTTCATTAGCGTTTTCATGTATCCGGGCCTTTCAATCTTCCGTCCACGACCGTGTGCCATGAAACAATGGCTCTTTGCAAAGGATCGTCTTGTGCGACTTCATAGGCACCCTAAACCCCAACCCCCCAACCCGAGCCGAGATGGGACCCCTAAACCCCTAAACCAGAACAGGACATGGCATATCATGCATTATGTGCCGCGGTTTAGGGTTTTGGGTTTAGGGTTCCAGAACATGACATGGCATGACATGACATGCCTGATGTGACATGATGCACTAGCCCTAAACCCTTAACCCTGACCTCTAAACCCGAGGACCTCAACGGCCCTAGATCTCTCAACTGTTACTACGACTACGAAGTTACAGGTCGCAACTGGTTGCAATCTGTGTTTTGCCACAGACGCCTGTATTCAAGTCATCTGAATTGATGTTTTTGCCACAAGTTACAGAACGCAACTGGTTGCAATCTGTATTTTGCCACAGAAACCTGTATTCAAGTCATCTGATTTGATGGTTTTGCCACAAGTTACAGAACGCAACTGGTTGCAATCTGGTTTTTGCCACAGAAACCTGTATTCAAGTCATCTGAATTGATGTTTTTGCCACAAGTTACAGAACGCAACTGGTTGCAATCTGGTTTTTGCCACAGAAACCTGTATTCAAGTCATATGAATTGATGTTTTTGCCACAAGTTACAGAACGCAACTGGTTGCAATCTGTATTTTGCCACAGAAACCTGTATTCAAAATTCCAGTCATCTGAATTGATGGTTTTGCCACAAGTTACAGAACGCAACTGGTTGCAATCTGTATTTTGCCACAGAAACCTGTATTCCAGTCATCTGAATTGATGGTTTTGCCACAAGTTACAGAACGCAACTGGTTGCAATCTGTATTTTGCCACAGACCTTGTATTCCAGTCATCTGAATTGATGTTTTTGCCACAAGTTACAGAACGCAACTGGTTGCAATCTGTGTTTAGCTACACAAGCCTGTATTGAAGTCATCTGAAATGATGGTTTTGCCACAAGTTACAGAACGCAACTGGTTGCAATCTGTGTTTTGCCACAGAAACCTGTATTCAAGTCATCTGAATTGATGGTTTTCCAACAAGTTACAGAACGCAACTGGTTGCAATCTGTATTTTGCCACAGAAACCTGTATTCAAGTCATCTGAATTGATGGTTTTGCCACAAGTTACAGAACGCAACTGGTTGCAATCTGTTTTTTGCCACACAAACCTGTATTCCAGTCATCTGAATTGATGTTTTTGCCACAAGTTACAGAACGCAACTGGTTGCAATCTGTATTTTGCCACAGCAGAAACCTGTATTCCAGTCATCTGAATTGATGTTTTTGCCACAAGTTACAGAACGCAACTGGTTGCAATCTGTATTTTGCCACAGAAACCTGTATTCAAGTCATCTGAATTGATGGTTTTGCCACAAGTTACAGAACGCAACTGGTTGCAATCTGGTTTTTGCCACAGAAACCTGTATTCAAGTCATCTGAATTGATGTTTTTGCCACAAGTTACAGAACGCAACTGGTTGCAATCTGTTTTTTGCCACAGAAACCTGTATTCAAGTCATATGAATTGATGTTTTTGCCACAAGTTACAGAACGCAACTGGTTGCAATCT